AAAAAAAAAACGCCTTAAATTTTTCCTGGAAGTTGTCCCTTCCCAGCACGGTGGCTCAGAGCAGCCCCAGCTGAGGCTGAAGATGAGCCAGAGAGGGAGAGTCTGCAGCCACAAGGGAGTACCCAGTGCCCCCAGCTCTGTCCACACACCTCGACTGCCCCAAGCAGGGCCGCGGGGGCAGGCAAGGACACGGCCCGACCCCAGGACTCACTGTCCTTCCAGCGAGGAGTCCAAATACTGCGATTGTACGTGAGAGCGTTTGTTCCATTGCAAGTTTAGTTACTGCTTTAAAAACCAGGTGTACAGAAATGGCATTTCAATTTCTCTGATGCTTCCTGGAAGCCATAGAATTTAGGGGCTTTTTTTTTTTTAATAAAACTAAAAAAAAATAAAAAAAAAAATCTTTAAAACCCAACACATTCTTTTGTGCTTGATTGTGTGGCCCCGAGGGTGGGAACACTGCCCAAGCACCTATTCACTGGAGAGTCCACCAACAGCAGGTCCCCATGCCCTGGGTGGGAGCACACACAGCCCCTGGCACGGGGTTGGCTCCCTGCCCATGGGCCTTTCCTGCTGTGGAACCCTAAAAATACATTCCCTCATCTCTTTTTCACATGCAGCAGCAGGAGGAAAGGCAAGGGGGGCAGTTGGGGGGAGCAGCAGAGAAGCGAATGGCTCCAGGCAGCTCCGTGCTCAGCCTCCAGCTCCCACCCACATATGTTCATGTAAACAACCCATGAGTGCGGAGGTGACCGGAGGGCAGCGCGCTGGCATGGGCAGTGTGCTGGCATGGGCAGAGCTCAGAACTGGGGGTGCAGCCTGGGAGACAGCCCTGAGGCAGGTAGGGGAGCTGGGGGAGCTGAGAAGGAATGACAGGATGGGTATCGTGCTGAACCAGGCAGGGTCCAGTCACGGCTCAGCGAGCACTGTGCCAACACAGGCTACAGCAGAGGCCAGGCTGGGCTCCCCCTGCTCCTGGCACCTTTCCCTCTGACATTCCAGTGGGCATCAGCTCCCTCCAAATCACAAAGAACCTTTGTAAAGACAACCTGGATGTCTTTATTGATTTCCTATTTACAAATCACAAAGCTGGCCAAAAGCAGAGTGTGAACACAGAACGAGAGCATCAGATACATTCATCATAGCACAGGAGTCGGGACAGGCCCAGCTCTGCTCGGAAGGTGACGTGGTACAACAGAATGGCTCATACTTTTGGGAACAGGCATGTCCAACAAGGAATTACATTCATCTATCTACAAAAGCCAGAATTGCATCAAACTGCAGAAAAGCCATTAAGAACAGAAGTTGCTCAGGTGTAGTTCAGAGTTTGACTCCTCTCCCTCCACGACAGGACAAGCTGCCAGACCTGCCTGGTGGGGTGAGGGCAGGAAGGTGGGATTGGGGAAGAGAATCTATGTATCAAAACAGTAGCAACAACAGATGCTTTCAGGGAAGAGCCAGCAGGAACGCAGCTGGGCAGCGCCGGCTCCAGCCCCGCTCTTTCCAGAGCCAAGTGCACAGCTTTGCTTCTCTCAGCTTCCAATTATTCCACTATTTCCACCTGTACCAGACGCCTCGAGGTGCTGCATGCAGAGCAGAGCCCCTGGGGAAGGCTCTGGCTCTGACCTCAACAGAGGCCGTGGGTGCCAGCAGTGACGTTCCCATCACCCCTGGGAGAGGGCACAGCTCTGTACATCCTGTCGGGCTGTGAATCCATCTCACACCACTGTTTGCACTGCACAGAGTCAGGTTCAGTCACTAACTCATGGACCCACTTGTTTTTTCCTTTTTTTCTTTTTCTATTTTTTTTCAGTACTGGCCATATCAGAAACATCCCACCTGGAGGAGGCTGACAACATACACAGCTTACACTGTCTTCCTAGAGAACGTGACACACTATGGACATCTCTAACAGCTACTGGTGAGGAGGTGCAGGGTGTTCCCATGGTACTGCTGCAGGGCCGAGGAGACACCCCAGGGCTGAGCCCTGAGGGTGCAGCAGGAGGAGGAGATGCCATTCCCCGGCAAGTGAGCCCCAGCCAAGGGTGATCAGGCTTCAGCTTCCAGCAGTGAAATGCAGTGACAACAGCCACCCAGCAGATGACGATGGCTCTGTGTGCTGGAGCAGAGCAGGAGGGTGGCAAAGGGAACCTCAGCTCTGACCTTGCAACAGTCCCACACAGACTCTAGCGGCTCTGGTCTTGCTGCCAAGCTGAGCTTTAATTCCAGTTTCCTCTGCAGATGAGGGAGGAAGAGTCTTGTGGTCTTCATCCATGTGCAGTGACCATGGGGTTGGCCAGGCAGCCCCAGGACCAGCCACACACCTCTTGTTGCCCTGAACAGGTACCAAGGGGCATCTTCATGGTCACTGAGCTCAACAGCCCAAAGACAGGTGATACTGTGAGCACATCTCCCTCCTGTGCCTGGCCAACAGGCACTGTGCAAACACACACACACCAGCACAGTGAATATTCCACGTGTTCCTGAATTGTTGGATAAATCCTTGTCCATCTGCCGCATTATCACGTAACAGGCAGGTGCACATCAAGCCTCTCTTCCTACTTCCATCCGGGCAGCAGGGGCCGGTCAGCCATGCACAGGGACAGAGGAAATGCATGGAAGCGTGCATGGAA